TCCCGCATTGGGCTCCCTGCTCGGCGGGGAGTCTGCTTCTCCCTCTGACCCTCCCCCCTCTCATGTGCTCTCTCTCTCCTCTCATCCTCTCTCTCAAATAAATAAAAAATCTTTAAAAAAAAATATATATGAACTAGACTTCATCAAAATTAAAAGCTTCTGTGCTACAAATGACATAATCAAGAAAGTGAAAGAACAGCATGGAAGCAAACATTTCCAAAACAGAGATCTATAAGACACTTTTATTCGGAGAATATAAAGAAGTCTTATAAGTCAACAATAAAAGGACAAAAAAACCTAAACTGAACATAGGGCAAGGGGCACCTGGCTGGCTCAGCTGGTAGAATGTGCAACTCTTGATCTCGGAGTCTGTAAGGTTGAGCCCCACACTGGGTATAGAGATTACTTGAAATCTTTAAAGAAAAGAGCCAAAGGATGCCTGGGTGGCTCAGTTGGTTAAGCGACTGCCTTCGGCTCAGGTCATGGTCCTGGAGTCCCTGGATCAAGTCCCGCATCGGGCTCCCTGCTCAGCAGGGAGTCTGCTTCTCCCTCTGACCCTCCCGACCCTCCCCCTCTCATGCTCTCTCTCTCTCAGTCTCTCTCTCAAATAAATAAATAAAATCTTTAAAAAAAAGAAAAGAGCCAAAGACTTGGACAGTTCTCAAAAGATATACAGATAAATGGCCAATAAACACATGAAAAAATGCCTGATATCATTAGTTATCAGGAAAATGCAAATCAAAACCATAACAAGATACCACTTTATGTTCAGTAGGATGGCTAAAATAGAAAAAAGACAGGGGTGCCTGCCTGGCTCAGTCAGTGGAATATGTGACTCTTGATCTCTGGGTTGTGAGTTCAAGTCCCATGTTGGTGTAGAGATTAATTAGAGTTAAAAAAAAAAAAGATAACACGTGTTGACAATAAGGTGGAGAAAATGGAACCCTCATACACTGTCAGTGGAATAGCCACTTTGGAAACAGTCTGGCAGTTCCTCAAAAGTTTTAACAGAGTTACCATATGACCCAGCAATTCCTTTTCTGGATATATACCCAAGAAAAATGAAAACATATTCACATAAAAACATATACACAAATGTTTATGGTACCATTATTCATAATAATAAAGAAGCTGAAATGATCTAAATGCCCATGAATAGATGAATGGATAAATAAAATATGGTATATTCATACAATGGAGTATTATTCAGCAGACCCTCCCCAAAAGAGAGAGAGAGAGAGAGAGAAATGAAGTACTGATACATGCTACAGAATGGATAAATCTTTAAATATTATGTTAATTAAGGAAGCCAATTACATAAAAGACCAAGTTATATGATTTCATGCATATGAAAGGTCCCGAATAGGTAAACCTACAGAGACTGAAAGTAGATTAGTGGTTGCTTCAGGGACGGGTGGAGGGGAGGTTGGAGACCGTATGAAGGAAAATAGGTATGGGGTTTCTTTTTGAGGTGATGAAATGTTCTAAAATTAGATGGCAATGATGGCTGCAAAACTCTGTGATACATTAAAAACGACTGAACTGTACACTTTAAAAGGGTGAATTTTGTGGTATGTGAATTATATTTCAATAAAGCTGTTCTAAAATAAAAAAACAACTTATATGAGACAAATGGAAATTTGACTATAGGTTGTTATTTGATAATATTAAGAAATTACTGTTAATTATACTTACATGTGATGACGGTATTATGATTTTGTTTACAAGAAAAACCACTCATCTTTTAGAGATACACACTGAAATATTTATAGACAAAATAATCTGATGTCTAGGATTTGCTTCAAATACCAGGAAAGTAGGTGACAGTATAGATGAAACAATATGGCACATGTTGTTGGGTCTCAGTACTCAACACAGTGTTCATTTTATTGTATTGTCTACTCTTGCATATGTTTGAAATTTTCTATAATTAAAAGCTAAAAAAAATGACACGCATTTATTAAATCATATAAGTTAATTCATTTCAGTAACCTTAGTGCCATCAACAATGCTAACATTTCACCATGGCTTAATATAAAAAATAATCTTAACATTAAAATTCCATGATTCCTTTTTTTTTTTTAAAGACTTTATTTATTTGTCAGAGAGAGAGAGCAAGCACAAGCAAGGGGGGCTGCAGGCAGAGGGAGAGGGAGAAGCAGGCTCCCTACTGAGCAGGGAGCCCAATGCGGGACTCGATCCCAGGACCCTGGGATCATGACCTGAGCCGAAGGCAGACGTTAACCGACTGAGCCACCCAGGCGTCCCTCCATGATTTCTCTTTTGATTCCAGGAATATAATTTAGAGTCTGTGTAGAATACAATAAGCTAGTAGCTTAATTTCCATGACTTTTGCTGTTGTTGCAATTCAAGTTCTTATGTTAAAAGAAGGTGATTTCACCACAGCTGTTTCATCAAGAACTGGTCTACCAAGATTCTCCAGTTCAGGGATGCTATTGTTCTTGGCATCCCACCTGACTAACAGAGGGAAAGTTCCTCTGTACCTCTTCAAGCACTCAAGAATTCACATGATACAGTTTCTGTAAAAGACCAGTTAGTAAATATTTTAGGTTTTGCAAATAATATGGTGCCTGTTACAACTTCTCAACTCTGATATTTTAGGGTGACAGCAGTCATAGACAATATGTAAACAAATGGGCATGGCTATATTCCAATAAAACTTTATTTACAAAAACAAGTAGCAGGCCAGATTTGGCTTACAGGCAGTATTTGCCAATCCCTGTGCTAGGGGCTATTGGCTCCTGTCAGGGAATTAAAAAGATAAAAATATGGTTTGCCATATACATTGGAAACAAAAATCATCATGTTGAGAACACACATATGTACATGAAGTGCAATACTTACAGGTGTTTGGATCATCATGGCTCGTTGATCTCTCATTGTTCTTACAATGTCTAGTGGATAAACTGGTTGATTGCATTCAATGAGACACATGGCTGTTTCCATAGTAATAAGAACCCCAGTTCTTCCAATTCCAGCACTGAAAGAGATAAATAAGAGGCAGTCTCATTGATAGTATTCTGTTAAACTTCTTGTGGCTTCTGTGCAGTAAATAAAAGTACTGAAATACAATACAATAGAAGAATAATTTGATTTTAATTAAAAGCTTTATATTACAAAAGTAGAAAGCCAACTAAAAAATACTTTGAAAACTGAAAAACATTTCACACTTAATACAGATTAAATGGTATCTACTCCTCCCCCACTGTTAGTTGTAAAAATGTTACTTTAAAGGAGTTACATTTCAGTTTTTAAAATCTGAACAAGGTACATAAGCTTACTAGAGCAGCCTCCCTTTAAAATGCAAACTAACGGGGCACCTGGGTGGCTCAGTTGTGTGGCTGACTTCAGCTCTGGTTATGATCTCGGGGTCCTGGGATGTAGCACCACGTAGGGCTCGCCACTCAGTGGGGAGCCTGCTTGTCCCTCTGCCCCTCCCCCCCGCTTGTACTCTCTCTCTCTCTCTCAAATAAAGTCTTAAAAAAAATGTAATAAAATTCAGGATGCCGGGGTGGCTCAGTCGGTTAAGCATCTGCCTTTGGCTCAGGTCATGATCCCAGGGTCCTTGGATGGAGTCCCACATCGGGCTCCCTGCTCAGTGGGGAGCCTGTTCTCCCTCTGCCTGCTACTCACCCTGCTTGTGCTCTCTCTCTCCCTCTGACAAATAAATAAGTAAAATCTTAAAAAGTAAAATACAAAATAACAAAATTACAATAAATCATTAACAAATGCAAAAAGACAACAATATTTTCCACACTCAAATTGGTTTTTAAAACCAAATTTAATTTTTATTAAATTTTGGAATTGGGATAGTCAAGAACAACTTTTTGAAGTCTTCTCTGTGAACATAATAGCTATAGCGGCTGTTGGGGATTTAGGATATGAAATGACCAAATGTGTTCATCAATCCTGCCATGTTGCCTCTCAGACATTTGGTCTACAATCTGTTTTGATGATCTGAAAGTCTGCTCTGAAAAAAGTGCTGGAAAGTGTAAGGATGAGGAGATACCTTTATTGAGGAGATACCTTTATTTATTTATTCAGAGGACTCAACACAGCTTATGAATAAATCACTTTAATAACAGAAGTGGCTAGGATAAGGAGAAGATAATTCATTTTCCTAATCTGGGTCTATGGCAGTGAAGGCTGGAGTCCCTGTATTTGGCCCTTCAGAAGGCAGAATGGGGCCCGAGTATGAAAGGAAGAAAAGGGTAGCCTACCACTGTTCACCTGGAGCTCTTGGGAGTAGCATATCCTCTGATGGTATTGGGTAGGGCCACTCTGAGAGAGGGGAGAGTACTTAACAAATGTCCTGGGAGGGGCCACAGGGCGGGAAAGAGTACACTGCTGGGAGGAGGAAATCTAAACCCTTAGCTGCAACTGAATGCCTAGTATATTGGATTTCATCAAATCTAAGATACCATCCATTGTAAGACACCCAATGTCTGAGATGTTAAACTATGAAAAAGACAAGCTTCTAAGAATCAATCAAGTATTATTTTTACTTCTTATGATAAAGATTCTGACAATCATATGTTGGAACATATCCTTTGCCTTCCAGCTTCAGATCATAGTCGTGGGTTCGGTCTAATTACCACAGTGACGATAACAACTTAAGGACGAAATAAAATACACATTCCCTTTTAAAAGTGACTTATCAGGTCAACTATTCAATCATAAAAGACAGAAAATACCTGCAATGAACAACAATAGGTTCTTCCTTGCCAGCCCTCTTATTTCGTACATGACAAACAAAATCCAGAAAGTCACTTGAATCATCAGGAACTCCATGGTCAGGCCAGGCTATGTACTGGATCTGAGTGAGTTGACGACTCTCATTTTTCTAAGTGTAAATGAAAAATTATGCCCCTTAACTTAGGAATTATCTTTAAAATATAAATATTTGTGTCATTTTAATTTTAGAAGAAAAGCAAAAGAAACTTCTCACCACCCCCAAAAAAGTAATGTAAACTCAATAAAACCCAAAATTTCAATGAAAAAGAAAGAAACCATTTTACAGAAACAGTTGTATCCTTTAAGTATCGGCTACTTGGATCACTATTCTTGTAACTCAATTTCTGCATTTATATTTTTCAGATGACAAATAAATAGGCAAAAACAAATTAAGATACAGAGAAATGTTTAAAGAAAACTAAAAAAGTGTTAGGTGAGCACAAATGGTAGGGGAAAAAATTTTTTAATAAGCAAAGTTGGGCTAATTCTGAAAAACACAAGTGAAATAATGGAAATTAGGAAAATAAAATCTCAAAATAAATGTAGATTAAAAACCAGAGATCACAAAAACACAAAGTCCAGTCAGGGTTTAATTCTTTTTTTGGGAGCCAAGAGTCAGTAAAATGGAGAAAGGTATTATTATTGGATTTATACATCTTGGTTTAAATATTGACTCTGCTGGTTAAGGCACTTAACATTTCAGAGCCTTACTTTCTTCAACTGAAAAATAAAATAACATTTATACCTCACAAGGATAGTCTTATGTTGAAAGGATTCTATGAGAGGACCTTTAAATCACCCAATCAGCTGTTTGCAATCATACTCTCAAAAACTGGTAGCTATGGCCATTCAACACTATGAAATCTGGTTATTGTCATTTACATTAAAGGGGGCTTCCAGAAAAGACCATTAAAGTACGAGGTAATTAAGAAAAGGACTAATGAACGAATTCCCAAAGAGACCTCAGTATAACTTGATAACTAGTTTTTCAGAGTCCTGTGAAATGGATTGAAGGTATTTAATACAGACTACCTTTGATTATTATTGTTAACAAAATTTAATGGTACCAAAAATTATAAGAATGGGTAATGTAAAATGGGTATTATGTTCTGGGGTATGTGTGTCAGTCCATCCATCCATGTATGTATGTATCTGGTATATAAGCAAATGTATTTTCCCAATTATATTTGTCTCAAACTTTAAAAACTAATTTGTGTCTTGTCATAGTTCTGAGGTGCTCAAGGTTTGCAAAGAAAAGCCACTGTAAGTTTATAAACTGCCATGGGTAACTTATAGGTGGAGCATAAAGAGATTATGCTGAAGATATAAATATTATTTTATATGGCCAATATACAGCCTTTCATACCCATTTGGGAAAATGAAGAAATATCTTATTGACTTACCTTGTTAAATTGGACCAGGAGCTACACAAGCCCTAAATCGATTCTAATGGAATCTCTAGTTCATAAGATTTTGAAAATTTAATTTTTTATTTCTTGTAACTTAGCTTTATTCAATACCAGATTCCTTTATTATAAATCCCCACAACTTCTGGCTCCTTCCCTTTAAGTCAGTAAAGCTCTGTCTTGCTGGGCTCCTTTATTCATATTCAGGGAGTTGGAGGGGGGTGGGGTGGAGGATTTGAAGCTTTCATTTTCAAAAGGCTTAACCACTGATGGGATAGGCATGGGTATTCAAAGCCTGTGCTATTTGTTCTTCTCTAGCATTTGCTTTTTTCTTCTTCTAGCCCCCTTCAAAACCAAAGATGCCTACAGGGGAATATCTAGCTGCAGGCAGTGAAAGTGGGGTGTACTATCTTTAACAGCCTGACAAGACTGGCAACATGCCATGCTCTACACTCATCTTCCAACTGAGTTACTGAGCCATCATTTACTAATCAGTTTCCATTTCTGGCTCTGGATTTGGAAGCCAAAGAGGAATGACCCAGGTGGTAGTAGGAACTAGCAATTACACAAAGCTATAATCTGTCTACTGTCAGAGGATCCTGCCTACAATCTTTTCTTCTTAATACTGGGGAGACTGAAATTGCACTCCTTCACCCTTTTACAAAAAGGATAATAATTTGATAGCTCTCAATTATTCTTTGTATTTCCACAGATGTACTCAAATACTTTATTGATATTACTGGCAGGAAGAAATCAAACACAACCATGGCATAATTTTTATGAAGAGGCAAAATATTAAGAATAATAACTATTACTTACTAGAATCTTTTTTTACTGACCATATTTACTTAGAGAAATTGAAGATACATTTAATATAGTAGGAGAATATACTTCATAAGATTTCAAAGAGTTCCAATGAAGCAAATTCAGGAATTTTTAAATATCATTTCCTAGTAACCAGGACTCAACATATTTTCAGCTTTCAAAGTTTTTACCTTGAACATAACCGTTCTACTGAGTGGATATCCTGCCTTCCTACCTCTTGGTTAAATAGTGTCATCTTCCTGAAGATATATGCTGTGTTTCCTTCTTCTGAGTGGCAGGTGACTTGATAGCATCCATAGGATGAACTTCCTGTGGGTTCTGGCCAATACTGGTGACACTTAACCTGACATCAATAGATTTAAGAAAAATATATAATTTAGGTTCTCCAATTTTAAAATGTTTTAATTTTTAAAAACTTTCAAGCCTACAGAAAAGTTACAAGAGTAATCTGATGAGCCCTCATATATCCTTCACCTAGATCTGCCAACTATTAAAATTTCTTCATCATTCTTTTCTCTTTGTAATAATAATCTGTTTGGCTATATTTTGAGACTGCAAATATCCTGTTTATTACAAGTTTTCACCCAATGTTTTACCATTCTTGATTAATTCTTGCCTGAATCATTTACTACTATGAGAGTGGCAAAATGGTGCACTAAACTCGGTATTTTTAGATTTAAGTTAACAGTGAGAAAGAATCTCTAACTAAAATGCCAATCTATTTTCATAATTAGGATATTAAAAAAACAGCTTTACTCTCATATAATTCACATACAATTTACCCATTTAAAGCACATAGTTCAATTGCTTTTAGAACTGTGCAACCATCAGCACAATCACTTTTAGAACATTTTTTCACTCCCCAAAGAAGTCCCATACCCATTAATAATCACTGTGTGTTCCTCTATCCCAACCCCTTCTCTCACTCTGGACCTAGGCAACCATTAATCCATTTCCTGTCCTCTATGAACTTGCCTACTCTGGACATTTCAGGTAATGGAATCACATAGTGTGTGGTCTTTGGTGACTGCCTTTGTTCACTTAGCATAATATTTTCTAAGGTTCACCCATGTTGTAGCATGGACCATTTCTTCATTTCTTTTTACTGCCAAATGATATACAACTGTATGATAACACCACATTTTATTTGTTATATTTGGATTGTTTCCACTTTTTGGTGATTATGAATAATGCTGCTATGAACATCTATGCACAAGTTCTTGTGTAGACATATGTTTTCATTTCTCCTGGGTATACCAAGGAGTGAAACTACTGAGTTATTAACTCAATGTTTAGCCTTTTGAGAAACTGACACTGTTTTCCATCATTTTACAAATCTAGCAGCAGTATAGGAGGGTTCCATTTTCTCCACATCATTGTCAACACTTAGTATTATCTGTCATTTTTATTTTAGCCATCCTACTGGATATGAAGTGCTACCTCTTTGTGTATGTGTGTGTGTGTGTGTTTAAGGTTTTATTTATTTGTCAGAGAGAGAGAGAGAGAGAAAGAGAGCACAAGCCGGGGGAGCAGCAGGCAGAGGGAGAGGGAGAAGCAGGCTTCCTGCTGAGCAAGGAGCCTAACGCAGGACTCAATCCCAGGACCCCAGGATCATAACCTGAGCCGAAGGCAGATGCTTAACTGACCGAGCCACCCAGGCATCCCTCTCTTTGTGGTTTTGATTTTGCATTTCCATGGTGACTAATAATGCTGAGCATCTTTTTATGACATTACTGGCCATTTAAATATCTTCTTTCAAGAAACATCTACTCAGGTTCGGCCATTTTTAAATTGGGTATTTACCATTTCATTGTTGAGTTACAGGAGTTCTTTATATATTCCACATCAAATCCCTTATCAAATACATGTTAATTCATTTAGATAATAACTGATAATAATACTGGCTAACACTTATATAGCACATTTATTATGTGTTAGTCACTATGATTTTAATAACACAAGAAAGAAAGTTTAAAGGTTACAAAAAAGACTAAATCAATGTGAATATTTTGACGATATATGCAATGTAAGTTGAAAAAAGCCCAAGCAAAAAAAAAAAAAGAAAGAAAGAAAAGAAAAGAAAAAAGCCCAAGCAATTTGTAAGATTCAAGTATGACTTACTCTGCCACGTTCAACTTGTGTAGTCAACATTACAACCATAGAGGAGCCTTGTTCCCAAGTCATCTGCCAAAAATCTGTACAAGTGTGTGGTAATGGCCCTTGACAAGCAATATACTGATTTATAATGCTAGAAGAAGGGATTTCCATCTAAAAAAGCAAAGGACACAAAACTCAAGTGTTTTACATTATTACTTTTTGCTATGATCAAGTATATGAAAATCATCCACGAAATAACAACTGAATACAACTAATCTCAATAAATAGCAAAGTCAGTAAAATAAGCCTTTACCAATAATATCTTTAAAAAAAAGAAGAGAGGGAAACAAACCGTGAGAGACTTTTTTTTTTTTTTTTTTAAAGATTTTATTTATTTGACAGAGACAGCCAGAGAGGGGACACAAGCAGGGGGTAGTGGGAGAGGGAGAAGGCAGGCTTCCCGGGGAGCAGGGAGCCCAATGTGGGGCTCAATCCCAGGACCCTGGGGATCATGACCTGAGCCGAAGTCAGACACTCAATGACTGAGCCACCCAGGTGCCCCAGTAAGAGACTCTTTTTGTTTTCCCCAATAAGAGACTCTTAATGATAGAGAACTGAGGGTCAATGGAGGGAGGTGGGTGTGGGAGGGGCTAAATGAGTGATGGGTATTAAGGAGGGCACTTATTATAATGAGCACTGGGTGTTGTAGGTAAGTGATGAATCACTAAATTCTACTCCTGAAATCAGTATTATACTATATGTTAACTAACTAGAATTTAAATAAAAATTTGAAAAAGAAGAAAAATCCCAAATCTTTATTAATAATTTCTTTATCTGAAGAAATTTCTTAGTAGTTATACATATTTATCTTTTAATTACTGGAAACAGAAATTTAAATATTTTCCAAAGTACTCTTATAGGTTTAAGAGAAGCTTTACAGAAAACCCTGTTTTAGAGGCAGAGACTTGATACAGAGATAAAAATACTTGTCTCTAAACAGCTTATTGGTAAAATTTGCAAGGAGCAAAAATTCTGCCATTTGTTTTAGTTCAGACTTAACGAATAATGTATAATATATAATACATACATACATATGAAAAGATAGTAGAAAATATTTTAAATTCATTATTTTCAGGAAGAGTAAGATCATGAGTATTTGGGAAAGATGAGTCATCATCCTACTACATTTTGAGACTTAATGAAAAAAGAAGAAAAGTGACACATGCACCATGGCACTGGAAGACTACCAAAGGGTGAAGAGAGAAAAACGTCTCTCTTCCTATCCCAGCTTCCGGTTCACACCCAGGAAAGAATCCTTTTTTCTAATTTCTAATATATCCTTTCAGAGATACTCTATATACAACACACAAATGTAGATGCAAAATTCTGTTTTCTGTAAAACATAAAAGGTAATTTATAATGTTGTTCTGCACCTTGTTTCTCTTTTTCCACTTTATCTTTGAGATGTCAGATTTTATTTTTTTAATGGCTCTGCATATACCGTAATTTATTTAACAAACACTTAAGTTGCTGGTAATCTATTTGCTATCATAAACAAAGCTGCACTGAATACTTTTGTAAACTCAACATTTTTGTTAGTTACCTTTCTGAAGAGGTAGTACCTATTTATACTTCCATCAACAATGTATGAGGAATGCTTGTTCCGCGATAGTCTCCTTAATATACTGATAATCCCTCATCCACAATTCTGAAACTCCCAGTGCTGTGAAGTGTAAGTCTGTCCTTTTTTGGGTACACCTGACCTCATCTGGACTCATCTGACAGCAATATCTGGCTAATCTAAGACTACTTATAGTCTTTATAAGTCCCATTCAATGGAAGTATCAATAGTTTGCTGAGTATCAATACACTGATTACAGAGTAATGTCTCATAGTCTGCTAGGGATGTTACTTACTACAGTCTATGGTGCAGGCACTGAATAATTTAAAAAAAAAAAAATCCAAAAAATTCTGAATCCTAAAGTGTATTTGACTCCCAAGATTTCAGATAAAGGATACAGACTTATAAATGATATTATCACTCTCTTTGATATTTCAAGTCTAATAAGTGAAAATAGTAATTCCTTCCAGTTTTGATTTGCACTTTTCTTTTTGTGAATTTAAGAAGAGTCTAAACTTTAGAAAAGTCTTTCCCTTTCTGAGATTTTAAGCCATTCTCATAGATTTCCTCCAAGTACTCTCATGATTCCATTTTTTAACATTTATATTTTGATATATCTAAAATATGTTACATCAAGAGTGAGTAGGTGAAGTCTTTATAGATAAATGATATGAAACATGGATCTGTTTCAAAACAATCTAGACAATTGTTGAGCTGAGTGATGTATATATGAAGGTTCATTTTACTTTTCTTCTACTTTTGTATGTTTGAAATTTTCTACATTACAGAGTTAAGAAAAGAAGTTAGTAATCCTTTTAATCCCAATAGAAGGGAAGGAAAACGTCCTTACAATGATATATTCTAGATTATATCTAGATATATTACTCAACTCATTCACTAGATAATCTATTTTTATCCTTCAATGATTTAAAAGGCCATCTCTACCATAAACAAAAGTCTAGCCATTATTTCAGCTTATTCTATTCCACTGCTCTATGAATATGTTAATATGCCAGTACCAAACTATTTTTTTAACATTAATTTTATACTATTTTTCAATATCTGAAAGTGTTAATATTTTCTCAAGGTTAAAAGGAACCTCAAAGTTTATGGTGGTCCCTCTTATTCCCAATGACAAAGGCATAATAAAAATAAACTTACATTTATATAATTTGCATTGATATAGTCTTCATTACCCTTTAAAATGACCCGTGTAGCATCATCTGAAAAAAATTTAAAAGCAAGAATGTTTTGATAAAGCTAGGCTAAAAAGATTAAACTTAACAAACAGAGATGGTAGATACTTACAAGGCGAAATATCTCTGTATCTATTTTTGGAAATATTTTGAGGTAATTTGGCACAAGACATTGTCATTCCAGGTTTTTTCCGATATAGTTGCTAAAAAAAAAAAAAAAAGGAGGGGGTATAAGAAGAGTCCAGCAAGCCATTAAGAGATTCTGTTTTGTTTTTCAGGATTATTATTATTTTTTTAAATTTTTTTAAAGATTTTATTTATTTGACAGAGACAGACTCAGCGGGAGAGGGAACACAAGCAGGGGGAGTGGGGGGAGGGAGAAGCAGGCTTCCCACACAGCAGGGAGCCCGATGTGGGGCTCCATGCCAAGACTCTGGGATCATGATCTGAGCCTACCAAGGCAGACACTTAACGCTTAACGACTGAGCCACCCAGGCGCCCCTGCAGGATTATTTCTATGCTAACAACAAACAGGTTTTTTCCTTAGGGTACCTCATCCATACAGTGATGTACCTTAGGCTAGTAGGATATTGAAACAAATTCGCAAAGCTGAATTCTGCACAATTTCTGACATGAATTATATATTGTATTTTTTTAAATGATAAAACATTGAAAATAATTTTGCTTACAGAAAAGTAACTGAAGTTATGAACAGCAAATCTGCAGAGAACATTTAGCTCTCATTTAATTTGAGAGGTTTAAACAGTATATGAACCAAGAACAACTTTTTTTTTCTTTTTAAAGATTTTATTTATTTATTTATTAGAGAGAGAGAGCGCACAAGCAGGGGGAGCAGCAGGCAGAGGAAGAGGGAGAAGCAGGCTCCCCAATGAGCAGAGCTGGACTTGGGGCTCAATTTCAGACCCTGGGATCATGACCTGAGCCGAACGTGGATGCTTAACCAACTGAGCCACCCATGCGCCCGAAACGGAAAAACTGACATGCCCTAAATGATTTACAGTCACGAATGTTTTATAGTCACTTATCAATAGCACATACTTTAGAGCAACAACTATTAATGATGACCAACTAGACAGACAAAAATTAGAGAAGGATAAAATATGACAAGGAACAAAAGTTATTTTCCTTTAACTCAGGATTTTTAGCTCTACCATAGCCTATCTTCATCTGCCACCTTTCATAAAAATAGCTACTGCATTACAGAAAAAAATTTAGTTTGATGACATATGCATAAAATCTCCTTATTCCTCTCTTTTAAAAAGATATCTATTTATGTAACTACAGCTAGTATTTTGGGAGCAATGTTTAAAACTATGTATTTTAGAACACTTTTTTTATGTCAAATATTTCACAGAATACCATTTCAGTTTATAAATTATAAACGATAAATTAGGCAGTTAAGAGACCATGAAATTAATTAGAAAATATGGCCCAACATCCTTTCCATGCAGTATTACTTACATCAAATTGTGTCAGGACTGTTCCAGTGATAAGTCCCTCGGCTAGCTGGATCATTGACTCCCGCAGCGAATGGTCATCCTGATGGACGCTATCTAGTGGGGCTTTCTCCGGAATGTACTGGAAGTCTGGCTCATTTTCTAGCTTTTCTTCCACTACATCATATACAGCTAAAAAAACAAGCCACACGGAAATCTTAATCAATTGGCAAAAAGAATTTACCAGATGCGTTCTTTAATTGTGTCAGGAAAAAGAATTCATCAGATCTGAGTCGGGTATCACTGTGTAAGGGACAAAGTGGTTGTGAAGTTGAACTTTGCTGTACCTTTAGGGAAAAGAAGCGTTCTTGGCCATATTGCTGAAAAATGTCTGTAACTTGAAGAGACAATTAGAAAAAGAGGAGCTGCCAAGCAGCAGCTCAGACCTGCCCTTAAACTGTCAGACCTAGAACAAAAGTAGAAACAGGGACCTATATACCATACATCCAGATATGAAAAAACACAAATAACTTGAGTAGAGTGCTAAACAAAACCTGTTCTATCCTCTTTCCTCGACACATCTACAAAACCTGGGAGGCCAGAACCCATGGTCACAGTAGTATGAAGAGACCCAGACCCCAGACTCTGGCCTTACTTCTTTTCCCACCCTAAACTCCATTCTTTAACATGGGAGCCTATGAACATACGTGCGAACATACCAGCCCATATGTAAGTTTGTTCTCCACTCCTCTGCAAACTGCTGCCTCTTAGCTACCCTGTTGGCCTAGGGGTACGTATACCGCGTGATCCACCCATGGGAGACTGGATCTAGGGAAAAGAGCCACACAGGCCCAGGAAGTGGGATCAGAGCTACTTGGACAGAGAACTGAGGGTTGAAATGAGGTGGTCTAGAGAAGAAGGAGTGGTCACAGGTGATAGCGTGGCATGTCCTCTTGGTCCCACAAAATCCTGATCCCCACAGGTAAGGGAAAAAGCTGAGAGAGAGCCAGAGTAGAGCCAAGCTAGGGGCCTCTTTTGCCCATGCTTAAGAGGTCTGGTTCCTGTTCAGATGTGTGCACTTCTGAGAAGAATAAACTTCTGAAAAGAAGAATGAAAAGAAAAAAAAAATGTGTGAATGCATTTTGTCTAAGAAGGAGATTTAAAGGAAAAAACCCAGAAAAACAAGCTGTTTGTTTTTTTGATACTTTTTGTAAATACAGTTTTAAAGTTTGATTAAGTGTTGCTTTGTTTTTTATTTTTTTTTTTAAAGATTTTTATTTATTTATTTGAGAGAGAATGAGAGAGAGAGCACATGAGGGGGGGAGGGTCAGAGGGAGGAGCAGACTCCTTGCTGAGCAGGGAG